CTCCATAACCACTCTACTCTAGCCCTATAGTATTCCATTTTCCCTTGTCCCTCTCCCACACACACACAATGGCAGGATTCCCTTCTTATCTTGGTGATTTACCACAGCGGGTGGACTTTGTCGTCGCCACCACACAAGCCAGCACATTTGCTACTTGGCCGACCCTGATACCGGCGATCCCACCGTGCCGATCACCCTGGAGGAGTAAGGAGAAGACTGGTGGACATGACCCCTTCTTCATTGAGGAGGGCACCCCTTTCACCGACGAGCGGGTGCAGGCTATGTATAACGTGGACTTTGCCGTGGGGATCAAGATGCAGATCGGGCTGCCCCCGGGAATCGACCCCAAGACCTTGTCCGTGGTGGAGCTGGGCGAGAGCGCCATTTCGGTCAGATTCAACCTATACTGTGCCCAGTTGACCGTGGTCGAATTGACTGTCGGACGCCACAACACGGGCAAGTGGAATGTCTGGAGCCAGTCGTCCGGGCAGCCGTGGACCATCCAGACGACAGTCGATCTCGTCGTCGCCGACCTGGATGACAGACTCGATACCCCCTACTTCAAGCAGCCCAACCACCATGTCGAACGGGATCGGCTGCGGAACGCCCTGACGAACCTGTCCGGGACGGCGTTCAGTCTGCAGCAGCTCATGTTCGATCTGGACAACACCAGCCTGTAGGAACTGCCGACCTTTCCGGCCATGGACATGAAATCGTCCGCCGGGTACATGCTGGGCAGCGTCTTCCTAGACAAGTACTGGGCCAGTGCCCACAGCCATGGTCTGCCGCTGGTCTCCGTCAATGTGGTCTCTCAACCAGAGGAGGAGTCCCCCATGCATATCGCCGCCTTTGAACGCGTCGTCACCCCGGTGAAGAACTACGATGGCAGCTGAACCAAGAATCCGGACCCCGCCCAGCAGGCGGCGGCCACATTGGAATATCTCTGTGTGATCAACGACCGTCCCTGTCCGTCAATCAACAGAGTGGCACCTTGCGCGCGTGCATAATAATAGCCCTTCTGTTACGACCTCATCATCACGTGATCCCCAATCGGAATTGGTTGGACTTGGGTGTCCCAAAAGATGGAAACCGACTCCTAATCCTAACGCTCTCCTCGCGCCACAATCATCTCCAAGATGCGATTTCAGCCATTCAGTTCTCTATCGTCCAGATCAATCCGGTATCGCTGCACCTGTATCCTGAGAAACAACTGTACACTATCGACTATATCCACGCAGACCGTGCAGGCGATGTCTTCTCCTTTGTTGTTGTTGCAGAAGAAGGACGGAAGCGGTAGGCGGCCCCGGAAGCCCTGAGTGTCCCCCGAGTCAAACTGTTGTTGATCGAATCGTAGTAGTCGAAGCAAAACAAGAGGATCTTTATCGGTATACTACCAAGCGATGGCTGTCAGTCTTCTCTGAAAGGGGCTAAGTGAGTGTTCGTTGACTTCTCCAGGGGGAACGACGCTGAGGAGAGGTCGAAGCGGTACCGTGACTTCAATCTTGAAGCGCTCATCGCTGCCGCCACGCGATCGAGTAGGACAAATACAAAACAATGTACTGGCCCCCACTTTCTTCGAAGAGCGCTGCCTAAATTTCATTCAAGGCACCCAGATCATGAAATATCTAGAAGGACAATACAGCAAGACCTTCCTTTTGACTTTCGATGACAAGTCCGAGGTGGTCGTGAAGCTGCCAAACCCAAATGCCGGACCAGCTATTTTTACCATTGCCAGTGAGGTCGCGACGATGGAATTTGTAAGTTACTGAGCCCATTACGCTTGCCCGCAATCTAACATACTAACATATGACAGGTACGTCGTATTATGGGTATACCAGTTCCGCGGGTTCTTGATTGGAGCTGCGACCGATTCAATCCCGTCGGGTGCGAATACATTATCATGGAAAAAGCCAAGGGAGTTCCGCTTGCCAAATCGTGGTATCGGCTTCCTTCCTCAAGCAAACACAACTTCATAAGGCAGGTTGTTGAGATGGAGGCGGAACTAGCATCTGTTCCAATTCCCGCGCACGGATGCGTATATCGCAAGCAGGACCTGCCATCAGAATATTCGCGGAATCAAATTCCATTCGATGAAACCAACCTACACGAGTTCTGCATTGGCCCTGTTATAGATCCAGTGTTTTGGTCGGACTGCCGTTCCGAATTACAGTTGTCTCGAGGTCCTTGTGAGTCTTTCTTTGCCGATATTTTGACCACTGGATGACTCTGATCCTTCTTTCAAGGGCGCGATATCGCCCATTACGCGAGGAGCTTAGGGGAAAATGAGAAATCCTGGGCCGATCGATATGCTCAACCACGTATGAATTATTACCGGAGTAACACCGATGCCGAGAACCCCAGCGAATATCTTGCGCTCATCGAGAAATACCTGCTTGTTGCTCCTTTCATCACGCAATCGCAAGTGGATTCTCCGGACATCCTGCAGCCTACACTGTGGCATTCTGACCTCCACCTCAATAACATATATGTCGACGTCGAGACTGAAACTATCACAGACATAATAGATTGGCAGAACACGACGACGGCTCCGCTAATCTTCCAGGCCAAGATACCACGAATGGCTCGACATGTTACCCCACTCCCATTAGGCTGGCATATGCCTGAGAAGCCGGAGAACTACGACGAGCTGCCCCAGGATGCCAAGTCAAAAGCGGAAGAGCTATACCAGAGCGCTCTGTGCCACAAGTACTACGAAGTGGTGACCGCGAAGAAGAACCCACGGCATTATGCCGCATTACTCCACAATGACGGTTGGAAAGCGCCTCTTGTCCGACCCATCAAAGCGATTGGCGGTGCTTGGTCATCGAGGGAAGTCTTTGGCCTCCGCGCATCGCTTCTGGACGTCGTGGATCATTGGCCTGATTTAGACACCCAAATCGACTGTCCGATCTCTTTCACGGCGGAGGAAACGGACTTGCACCACGAGGAGCTGGAAAATCGCGAGTACGTTGAACAGCTGATGGAGCAGTTCCAGGAAGCTGGGATCTTGCCAATCGACGGGGTCGCCGACCCCGAAGACTACGAAATCCTACAGCGCACGAATGCCATACAGAAATCAAGCTTCCTGTCGCTAGCGGAGAGCGAGGAGGAGAAGTTGTGGATGGACAAGATCTGGCCGTACCAAGACCGCCCGCAAGATGCTTGATGCTGTCGTAATCCAGCCTTGCCATTGCAAACCGGGCTCGGTCGCGTCGAAGGGTGATCAAGGAATCCTCATGGATCGAAGACAGGATCGCAAAGAAAAAGCCAACTTGGTGCCAAAGCTTGTTGAGGCTTCATGGTAGCGCAAACGGATTCTGGAATACTAGCGGCGCATGTACTGTAGACCGATCGGGCTGTGTGATTTAGGCCTACGCGTCATTGAGGGCACTCTTCGCCGCCTCAACAATGCAGTTACAAGTATTATAGTACTTATTATAATAATAAGTTAAATACATTTTGTTCATTTTTATTAGTCTTTTTATGTTTTTTTATTTTTAAATATTTAACTTTCTTATTTTAATAATATAGTAGTGTCTCTATCTTTATAGAATTATACTTCATCTAAAATTAAATCTAAAAGAAAATAGTCTATTAGGTGTCACACAGGAAACGTCTTATCAGTTGCCCTACGTCTATGTCTCTTATCTCTCATGCAGACCTCCCCGCTCTCTCCTCACGTGGAAGGCGAAAGATAAGGCTTGGAGTACCGAGTATAAATCACGATCGACGCCAACGCCTCTTTCTCCGCATTTCGGTTGATCCTCTCGGCCTTGGTGAAGTGGTCATCTCCATGGATCATTGAACAACACCATCATCGTCCTTCTGATCAACATTATCCTGAATCCATCAGCCATTTTCCATCTTGTCAGATGGAATTGAATGAGCCCCAGCCATAATGTCCACAACCCTAACCACGAAAACGAAAACCAGCAGAGACAACCGCCAAGGCCGTCGCTTCCGAACGGGCTGCAAGACCTGTAAATCGAGACGGGTATGCTTCCACCTGTTCCCAAATGTTTCAACTCCAAGGCATCAAGGTTAGGATGGAGGCTCATCCATAGGCAAAGATTCAATGCGACGAAACGAGACCGGCGTGCAACGCGTGCGTGAAGCAAGGGCGCACGTGTCCCGGATATCAGCGCGAGTTCAAATGGTCGACGAAACATGAGGTTTCTTCGGGGCGTGCTCGGAGGAGGACGGCTGTGAGCGAGGAGGAGGATTCGATGGCAGGCGTGGCGGGGGAAAGTCCCGAATCGACGGGTTCGACGGTGGAGATGGAGAATAAGCAGCTGGAGGAGGCGTTTGATGCGGTGTCTGGGCTGTTGGCGTCGGAGGGGAATGGAGATGGGGATGGCAATGATATCGGTGGGGATAATGGTGGAATACCGACGGTGGGGAGCTTGGATGGGCTGGCGGAGTTGTATGGGAGGATCTATGGCGATGGTTTTGGGTGGTTGATGGGGCTGGATGAGGATAATCAGACTCAAGCCCAGGCTCAGGTTGTGGCGCAAGTACAGGAGGACTTTCCAGAAGGTACTCAGGCAGACCTTCCTGTGGTTGGCCTGGAAGAGGATGGAGTGGATGAGCCGGCTGAATTCGAAGCACTCCTGCAAGGCGATGTTCTCGCCCTCGAGGACGACGTACCACACCCCATCCTCTCCACCCCATCCATGACAGAAACCACCACTTTCTTGATCGAATACTGGTTCAAGAACGTGTGTTCGATGTGGTCGAGCTTCGACTCCGACCGCAACCTCATCCGCAAGCTGGCGTCTCACACGTGGAGCCACAACGCCGCCGTGTTCCACAGTCTGCAGACCATGTCAGCCCTACATCTGTCCGAGCAACTGCCTCACCTCCACGCCACAGCGACCACCTCGTGGACCGCCGCCATGCAGTCCATCCAGCAGGAGCTAGCCTCCTTCACGCAGCACAAATCCTCGCCACCCCAATTCCCCACGGGCCTCCTCCTCGCCCTGGCCGGCATCGGCACGACCACCTGCTGGACCGACAGCCAACAACTGGGGATCCCCCTTCTCCAGAAGATGAAAACCATTCTGGCGTACTACAACCAACCGGGCATGCTCAGCGCGAGCACCACGGACCGGACGTATCTCGAGTTCTTCAACGACAGCTGCGCCTACTGGGACATCCTATGCCGCGTGGTCACCGACGAGCAGGACACCACGGGCCCTGCGACCACCACTCTCATCGGCCCAATCCCCGGTTCCTCTCCGACATCGACCACAACCACCACCAACACAAACACATTCACCTCCCCGCACCCCTGGGTGGGCTTCTCGCGCCCCATCCTCGACCTCTTCGCGCACACCCTCCTCCTCTGCCGCCGGCACAGCAAGCGCCTCCGCTCCCCCACCCACGCCACCCTGCACACCCTGCAAGAACTCATCCGCGACATCCACGCCGCGCGCTCCCTGCGCCAGACCCTCACATCCACGACCCTGCAGCCCAGCAACCTCACCGAAACCGGGGACGCGCGCACCCCGCTCTCCCATCTCGTAGACGTCGCAGAGGGCTACCGCCTCGCCGCCCTGCTGCAGCTGTACCAGACCTTCCCCGATCTCCGCGACGACCGCGCCCGCGAGCTCGGTGCAGCGGCCATCTCGACCTGGAGCCTGCAGACCCTAGCCCTCGAGCTCCTGGACCTCGTGAAACGCATCCCATTGGAGTCGGGGTCGCGGGTCATCCAGCCGCTGTTGTACCTGTCCATCGCGACGGGGCTGAGGGCGCCGGACGCGCAGAGTGCGGCGGGGGCGCCGCGGCTCAACCAGACGGCGCTGCAGGTGAGTCAGGCGCGGCGGGTGGTGATGCAGCGGGTCAGCGTGTTGGAGTACAGTCTCCCGTCGAAACCGATCCGGGTGCTGAAGGCGCTGATCCAGCGGATCTGGGAGGTCGGGGATCGCGAGGGGGAGGCCGGGGTGGGGGCCGGGAGGGCGAAGCATTGGAGTGAGGTTATGGAGGAGGGGCGGTTGAGGACTATGTTTGGGTGACGTGATGTGGGGGGATTGCGATGTAGGAAGAAGGATTGGTGAGATCTTTGGTGTTGTGTTAGCATGGATGATAGGACGAAGGAGAGTATTTGGCTGGGGATTTATGGGCCTCGTTAAGGCAGTCAAACTTTTTCTGACCTTTCCTGATTATTTCAGTACTGAGTATTGTATACATCCAACCTACAAAGCTAGAGTTAGGTTCAGCCGACGGTATCCGTGAGCCACCATGACACGTTCTCGCATCATGTCAACTTGGTCAACTTAAACTTCCGTCCCTTCCGTGGTGGATCGTGCAAGAAAGTCGAGGGAAACTTAAAATAGCCTCCTGGCCGGTTTCCGACCCGAGCCTGCACCCATTGCGGGTGAAAAGAATTACGTTGTTTGTTCAAGGATAATGTCATGATGGCTGCATTGGTCTCTATGTAACTCATGAAGTGAAAATGGTATCCCGGTGATGTGCGTGCTCGCTCATGCACTCAATCCCTTCAGGTTGATACTCTTCGGTCGCTCGATGGGCAAGCCCAATGCACGATCCCAGATCAGCTGCACTAACGGGCCCAGAGCCCGACTCACGCCGAAGGTCACGGTGTAGTACAGCGGTTGCGTGAAGCCGTAGTGATAGAAGAGCACACCGGACGCGGCATCGACGTTCGGATGAGGGTTCTTGGTCTGTATGATTTGTCAGTATGATTCCCGTCTATCAGAGGGAGAGAAGGAACCCACCTTGCCATGTTCCGTCAACACGCCCGGCGCAATCTCGGACGTCTGCTGCACCAGCTTGAACACCGGGTTGGACTGCACGTCCGGCCGCGCCGCCGCGAAGTCCATCAGCGCCTGGAACCGCGGGTCCGGCTGCCGCAGCACCCCATGTCCGTACCCAGGCACCACGCGGCCCGATCGCAGCGTGGTCCACAGATACTCCCGCACCGCCTCATCCGTCGCCCCCGACCCGATCTCCGTCTCCATCGCCAGGATCCACCGCAGCACCTCCTGGGCGGCCAGCCCGTGCAGCGGGCCCGCCAGCCCCAACAACCCCGCGCTGTAGCTGAGGAACGGATCGCTGAGGGCACTGCCGACCAGGTGCGTCGTGTGCGCCGACACGTTGCCGCCCTCGTGGTCGCCGTGCAGCGCCAGGTACAGGCGCAGCAGATCGTGGAAGTCGCCGTGCGTGGTCGGGTCCCCTTTGCCCAACAGGGCGGCGAAGTTGGCCGACCAGTCGAGCGCGCCGTCCAGCGGCTGCGTGCCGACCTGGTCCACGGCGTCCGGGCGGAAGACCAGCGCGGCGACGCGGGGGATCTTGGCCAGCAGGCTGATCGCGTCGTCGAAGGTCGGCTCCCAGTACTCGGTCTTGGGCAGGCCGCGGGCGTACTCCCGGGCGAAGCGGGATTCGGTGTTGAGGGCGGCCACGGCGATGGACAGCTGGGTCATCGGGTGCATCTCCCGCGGGAAGGACTTGATGAGGTTGAGCAGGTGCGGCGGCAGGTGGGACTGCTCGGCGAGCTGGCGCGAGAAGGCCCGCACTTGGGCGGTCGACGGCACCTGGCCCGTCAGCAGCAGCCAGAACATCGCCTCCGGGAGCATCTCCGTGCCCACCGGCCCCTTGGGTAGCTCCCGTTGGCAGTCCTTGATCGTCTTGCCGTGGAACCGGATCCCCTCGTTCGGGTCCAGCACCGACCCCTCCCACAGGAGCGCCTTCAGACCCCGCTGCCCGCCGATGACGTTGCCCACGGTCACCTCGCCGATGACCTGGTCGCTGCGCGCTTTCACTTGTTTGACGAGATCGCGCTTGGCGGGGATGACGGCCTTGAGGGCGGATTTGAGATCGGGTTCAGTGGCATAGGTGCGACGGAAGAGGGAAGTCTAGATGGGTGGAAGGTGGAAGGTCAGAGTGGGCTTGACGATTTTTATCAAGGGAGACGCACTTGAGTTAGTCGCGAGGCATGATGGCTGGTGGTACGTATAGGTAGAACCATGTTGTGAGTATGTGTGTATGTGTGTGTGTGTATGTGTGTGTGTGTTGTAAACAATCGCTGCAGGGAAGGAGAAAGGGGGAGTCAAGATCCTGTCCTGACGGTTGGGTGTGAGAGTGTTGCTCTAGGATAAGGTGTGAAGGTGTGAAGGTGTGAGGGTGTGAAGGTGTGAGGGTGTGAAGGTGTGAAGGTGTGAGGGTGCTACAAGGGGAGAGGGAGACTCAGGCTACCTAGACACAGGCGCAGCAGATATACCTACACCTACCTGTACTGTACTCACTAGCCTCGGCCGCGAAAGCGGTTGGACGCGGAGATCAATACCGAGAGTCCGACCGAGGCAAGGGAGAGGGAGAGCTGAGGGAGAGGGGACGGCTGCATGCGGCCAGTCCATATTACAGGTGAGTAAGGTAAGTTACTCCGTACACCGCCGTACAGCCAGGGGTTGTTATGTGCCTGCAATCATGGGCGACCGGAGATATCTGATTTATTGATGCGCCGATCAGCACATCACCTAGTAATTGCGTCGGTCTACCTTAGCCTTCCTCTTAGCCTTTCACTAACATTATACCCTCCCAACTGGGTTGCGGCGGTGAACAGCACCATGGTTCGGATGAGGATGGAAAGTCTCTTTCTCTCTGGCTTGTTGTCTGGAAATCGCCCTTCTTGACAGGCAACGTGCTTCCTAATGTTTCCACAGCAGCAGCCTGCAGTGCAGTCGACATCATGGATCACAATGGATTCTGTCAGACCATGACTTCTTTGTTGCTCCACTGGGTGGATCTTCTCCCCCTCTTCTCCGTGCGGGGTAAGCCCAATCCGGACAGCCTATTGTCGCCTGGTGTTTCAGGCACTGATATAGATGACTTAGGCTCTAAGGCAGAACTGGCACCGCCTCATGTGTTTACGTCATCAATGGTCTCGACGGCGGCATCCTTGTCCCTGCTAAGCCACATTTCTCTGATTGGCACCAGCCACGCCTCAGGCAGAGATTTCACTGCCCACCTTGGCCAATCATCATCTCTGAAAAAAAGTCCCCCGCCGCCCGCCTCGATTTTTCTCTCCCATCTCATTGTTTCCCCCCCCCCCC